AGAAGCCATAAATATTTCTGAATTCGTCGAAGTAAAAGCAGCAATGGGAATACAATATTTTGATTCAAATATGTCATTATTATAACCGGTATTCTCCTTTGCCAACGCTTAGGCATAAAATAGAAAAGTAATTCCTATTTTTTTTCGTTCATCAACATATAAGCACCCCATATTTATGCTCAGGGCTGACTACCAGAATTAAAATCTTATTTGTAAAAACCAAATCACATATCGGCGGATCTGCATAGTTATTATTAAAATTTTTTAAATCTTTGACAAAGAACAACTTTTGGCCCACTGGCCCATTTTAAATCATTTTGCTACCAAAATGATCGTTTTACTGACAGTCATTTTGGTGGTAAAATGATTTAAAATGGACCAATGGGTCAAAAAGTTATTCTTTGTCAAAGATTTAAAAAATTTAAATAATAAATCCACCGTGAATCAGACCCGAGGCTATAATATAGATAAAAATTTTGGTAAAATGGAACAGGCCCTAGTATATTACAGGAAACAATGATTAAAAGACCCGGGTATGATATTAGAACATAATATACATTATATAAATTCAATAAGTTTTTGATTTCCACACATAAAAGCCTTTGATTATCAGACTAATGTCTATACTACAGACCCCGGGTCTTGTTGATGCACTTTTACGGTAATTACACAGATCCGCCGATGTGACTAATATTGCCAATAGCAATTGAATTATTATTATTATCAATATTATATATAATTGTTAAATTATTTTTTCTTTTGATTTTATAGAATAATTTTGTCACATGTTTCCATCATTGATCGGCATTGCCATGTTAATCTTACCTTTATAGTATTAGGCATTCTTAATGGGCTTGGGTGAATTTCCCCGTCATGTATACAGAAATTACCGCGTATACGCGGTTACAAACTTGACGCATGTGTTAATCAGAATTAGTAGTGTAGACATTATAATTTTAGCATAAACAATGTATGTTTTCTGAAACCGTCTATAAATAAAGAATACATAAATATACACATTTTCTATAATAAGTGCCTAATAACCATGAAATACGAGTTTCCTATTTTTCATTAGGTTCCCGTATCTTCTCTTACGTCAACTATTGGAGTTAATCTCTGCATGATTGATGGAAACTCTTCCATACTATAGTGACACTAGTTATATCGTTGTTTATTTTATCGGTTTTAGCCACGATATATGATAAAATCAGTTTTATCATATAATAAAACCCAAAACATCATGACGATAAAACGTTATGTCGGCATCACTAATACTGCCCTTCATTGATGGTACTAAATTCCGATGTATCAAATCTTTAAAGAAAATCCCGATGTATCAAATCCTTAAAGAAAATCCCGATGTGTCAAACCCTTAAAAAAAAATCCTGAAGATATAATACCTCGAAAGCTAAATACCAAGAAATAAAATTCCAGAAAAGTTATAATTCGAAAGATTATGATCCCAATAGATCATAATCCCGAACAAATGATAATAAATTCTTAACTCTGGGCGATGCTCTAGGTATAACATTTTTAAACACAATCTAGTTGGATCCAACCTGGGATCATTGGATCCAACCTGGAATCACTTGGATCCCTTGGATCCAAATGAACTTGGTTGGATCTAAATAAACCTGGATTGGACCAAAGTGAATCCAATTGAACTCAGTTGGATTCAATTATCTTGGGTTAGGTTCAAATGAACTTAGGTTAAACCTAACTGAATTCAGGTTAGGTTCAAATAAACCAGGTTGGATCCTACTGAACCTGGGTTGGGTTTAAATGGACCTGACTTAGGTGTAAATGAACCTAACTTAGGTGTAAATGAACCTAACTTAGATTCAATGAACCCGAATAATACATACATGTACCAAGACTAATTAGATCATTTTAAAAATACGTTTATAATCCTAAAAGTTTGGACTATATCTTGCTTAAGTTGCCTGTTATCCTACCGCCACATTTACGTACGTACGTACGTACGTACGTATGTAACGTACGTTTGTATGCACGTACGTACGTATGGTGCAAATCACTTAGTCTCATAATTTAAGTAATTAAATTTTGGGGTGACAATAAGAACCAACCAATTAAATTGCACCTTTCTGATTATTAGTCTTCGAAAATTCTTGTTTTTTTAAAAAAAAAAAAAGTCTCGCCTCGAAGAATAATGAATTTCTTTAAACAAAGAGCGTAACTTTGTAGGCCTTATCTAAGACTATGTGAATTTACAAATATTCATCGAGGAGTTACAGTTCGGACGTCTTTAGGTGATCTGCATCATACCCGATACTGTAGACCCACATAAGGCTATGTGTAAATAAATAAATAGAAAAGTACAACAAAGTACGTAATTAATTCGGAATTCTAAATATAGAAAAGAAATAACATATGATCTAAAGAATTATGGGCTGAAATTAAGCTACCAAGGTTAGGTCCTCTGGTGCACTCAAGAGAAGAATTTTATCAATAATAAAGTTATGTATTTCTAAAAATGCCTATTTTTTGTAAAGAAAATTTTCAGCCAAATTAAAAAAGTTAGATTGTCGACAAAAATTATGCTAAATGCACAGAGTAACACATTGCATTAATTATTTATTGGTCATATTATACAGATTTGTGTTAATAACATCTATTTAGTACAACACAAATTTCCCTTTGAATCACATGTAATAAAATTTAAAAATTGTGATTGGATCCACTATTGATTTGGTATCATTATTTTACATTGGAAAAATAATGCTAGCATTTTAATGGGTTGTACGTACAGAAGGCAAGCTTAAAAATAGACGTTTATTTTGATTTGTTTTGTTCACAAGATTGTGCTCTAATGGCATGGTCCCACGACCAAATTACGTACAGGAAATTATTATTTAAGCAATACTACTTTTTTAATGTTGGCTTTTTCTTCTGGAAATCAATGGATGGCAGAGCATTATTTATAAGAGTAATTCACGGTCTGATAGTTCTCGCTCTTTTAGCGGTCTTCGGTAATAATTTATATTCTCTACTTCAAAGGGTGAACAAAATAACACAGTCGTTTTCTGTTGAAACAAAGAATGCATTGGTTCCTCCAGCATTGACATTTTGCATTACAAGACAAGTGGCATATAGATTTAGTTTAGAACTTTATGGAAATATAGTTGCTACGGGAACCACACCTGCTGATTATCTTAGCACTTACAACAATGAAACTGTGGAATTAAAAGGTTTGACTAATGCAGTTTATAAATGTTGGGTATGTCAATAAGTATAATTGCAATAAAAATATAAAGGTTGTCCTATTAATTATTACAATTTCGTGGATAACAGATCATAAAAACACCAGATAATTCTCCAGTTATTATAAATCCATCCCCAAATCCCCTGGTGGATGACATACGATTTAATTATACCCGAGTATTCGACACTCCCGGACGATTTCAACCTGCCGATCCAATTGTCCTAAATGTTTTCGACCCATTAAGACAAAGAACTAATTTTGAATTCAGCAAGTTTTTATTACTTGATACCGATGTTAATCGTGCGATTAGTTTTTCACGAATTGAGTCATGCAGTATAAATCGAACTGTCACCACCAATATTAAATATAATATTATAGATGTGTTTAGAGACAATCTTACAATGACTACGCCTAATGATGCTACTAGCTCTATTAGAATTAGACCAGGTTTGTCTCTTTTATTAAAAATTTCCTTTTGTTTTTAATGCACTCTAATAATGTGGTTTTATTTTGAATTAGATTCATTCAACCTAGAAATAACAACTGATGTGCAACTCATTGGTCCATGGGATGTCTTAATATTTAGTGTTACATTACTAGGAGTATTGTCAGGTTTTTACTTTGCTTTAGTTGGGCGAGGTAAATATAGGCCATGGGGATTGATTAATTACATACTTCACTATTTTCCGGTTGAACACTTAAAAAAAGATAATGAATTTTCTATTCAAGAAGAAGGTCGGAAGGAAAACTCAAACATGGTTATCTCAGAAAAAACGAATGAACCGAGTATTTCGGAAACTTTAATGGTTTATTTGGATAGATTTGAGCATGCAAGATATGACAGATGATTATTTGAATTGTCCTAAAAATCCAAAACTTTAGTCAATTTCATATATTTTAATAATACTGATAATAATTTTTAGCTTTGATGTATTTATAAAAACTATATAACTTGAAATAATTTAAATTTATTAATAGTCTTATAAAATGGTTTCGAATATTTGTAAATTTTTCATTAAATTTTATAATGTATAAATAAATATTTTTCATGTATAGCAAACCTAGTTTCGTCTTTCGTTAATTGAGCCCTTAAATTATGAAATGATAAAACTGATTTAATGAAAGGTGGCAAAACTAACAGCTAATGAAAGTTGTCAAAACTGCTGAATAATAATGTATATGTCATGCCCCAAATGACAATTTTCCTAGATGACAATCTGGCCAAAATTATAAATTAATTAGCCCAGACGTTA